CCACTGACAAATAAATGATCAGTGTATAATTTAAATGGTAGCTTTATTTGAACAGTGAGAGACAGAATAACAACAAAAAATCCAGAAAAACGCATGTCAAAATTGTTATAAATTTATTTGCATTTTAATGAGGGAAATAGTATTTGACCCCTCTGCAAAATATGACTTAGTACTTGGTGGCAAAACCCTTGTTGGCAATCACAGAGGTCAGACGTTTCTTGTAGTTGGCCACCAGGTTTGCACACATCTCAGGAGGGATTTTGTCCCACTCCTCTTTGCAGATCTTCTCCAAGTCATTAAGGTTTCGAGGCTGACGTTTAGCAACTCGAACCTTCAGCTCCCTCCACAGATTTTCTATGGGATTAAGGTCTGGAGACTGGCTAGGCCACTCCAGGACCTTAATGTGCTTCTTCTTGAGCCACTCCTTTGTTGCCTTGGCCGTGTGTTTTGGGTCATTGTCATGCTGGAATATCCATCCACGACCCATTTTCAATGCCCTGTCTGAGGGAAGGAGGTTCTCACCCAAGATTTGACGGCACATGGCCCCGTCCATCGTCCCTTTGATGTGGTGAAGTTGTCCTGTCCCCTTAGCAGAAAAACACCCCCAAAGCATAGTGTTTCCACCTCCATGTTTGACGGTGGGGATGGTGTTCTTGGGGTCATAGGCAGCATTCCTCCTCCTCCTCCTCCAAACACGGTGAGTTCAGTTGATGCCAAAGAGCTCCATTTTGGTCTCATCTGACCACAACACTTTCACCCAGGTGTCCTCTGAATCATTCAGATGTTCATTGGCAAACTTCAGACGGGCATGTATATGTGCTTTCTTGAGCAGGGGGACCTTGTGGGCGCTGCAGGATTTCAGTCCTTCACGGCGTAGTGTGTTACCAATTGTTTTCTTGGTGACTATGGTCCCAGCTGCTTTGAGATCATTGACAAGATCCTCCCGTGTAGTTCTGGGCTGATTTTTCACCGTTCTTATGATCATTGTAACTCCACGAGGTGTGATCTTGCATGGAGCCCCAGGCCGAGGGAGATTGACAGTTCTTTTGTGTTTCTTCCATTTGCGAATAATCGCACCAACTGTTGTCACCTTTCGATTTAAAGCTTTCGTGACTGCAATGATTCATCTTCTTTGGTTCTTTCGGTAAAGTCACGTAGAATGAGAATAAAATAATAAATTGATAAAATAAAATAACACAATAATATTCTCACGACGTTTCGGCCACAACACAAGCGGCCTTCATCAGGTGAAGGGACGAGACTGTCTGGTAGGACAGCGCTGTCCTACCAGCCAGTCTCGTCCCTTCACCTGATGAAGGCCGCTTGTGTTGTGGCCGAAACGTCGTGAGAATATTATTGTGTTATTTTATTTTATCAATTTATTATTTTATTCTCATTCTACGTGACTTTACCGAAAGAACCAAAGAAGATGTTGTCACCTTCTCACCAAGCTGCTTGGCAATGGTCTTGTAGCCCATTCCAGCCTTGTGTAGGTCTACAATCTTGTCCCTGACATCCTTGGAGAGCTCTTTGGTCTTGGCCATGGTGGAGAGTTTGGAATCTGATTGATCGATTGCTTCTGTGGACAGGTGTCTTTTATACAGGTAACAAGCTGAGATTAGGAGCACTCCCTTTAAGAGTGTGCTCCTAATCTCAGCTCGTTACCTGTATAAAAGACACCTGGGAGCCAGAAATCTTTCTGATTGAGAGGGGGTCAAATACTTATTTCCCTCATTAAAATGCAAATCAATTTATAACATTTTTGACATGCTTTTTTCTGGATTTTGTTGTTGTTATTCTGTCTCTCACTGTTCAAATAAACCTACCATTAAAATTATAGACTGATAATTTCTTTGTCAGTGGGCAAACGTACAAAATCAGCAGGGGATCAAATACTTTTTTCCCCTCACTGTAGAGGGTACTTCTTCTTTATTCTCACACTGGGCACAACACAGGCCAACACTGGTTCTTCCTCTCACTGAGTATAACTCTAGGCAATAACACCTCTACTGTCTACACGCACAGCCGAGCACTCGGCGTGGTCCCACCGCCCTCGCTCGGCCACGCCGCTTGCTGGCGGCGTTACGACGACGGCGATGGAAACCCGCAGGAGATCTTCCACGTGGCCGCACGACGGAGAGAGATGTCGGCGAGCAGCGACGCAGCCAGCACCCAGGACCCCGCACGCGAGCCCCGGGCCCCGGGTCCGCTCCCCGTTATATCCCCCCAGGGCGTGGCTAAGCCCCGCCTCCGGCCACGCCCTCTCGTGGAACCTTCGAGCAGGTCCCCCAGATCATCTCGGCTAACCCCACCTGTTACCTTTGCCCCAGATACCTCTCCTTCTCTGATTGGCTGTTACCTCTGTGCCTGTACCCGTGAATCCCTTCCCAGGCCAGCAGGTGTCACTTTGTCATGTCAGCAGGTGTAGCCCTGTCATTACACACGGATGGTCTGGTGTAGCCAGTCACCCGGCTATGTTACGAGTGAGATCCGTGGTGCGTGAGCACAACAAGGACAACAACCGACAACGACGTCGATATTGCAGAGAACGTGTAAAGGGTACATTAGGAATACTGCACAACTACCAAACGAAGTCTTTAACGGTCATAAACGAAACACACGCAAGTAAAAACAAACAGTGCAAGTGAAAGATGAAGTGTTAGGTGCAGGTGCACATAAGCTCGTAGTCCGAGTCTAACAGTGACATAAACTCACGCAAATCGAAAAAGACGTTGCAAACGTGTGGGAACAAGAGGCGCCAGAAGACATTAGGTACAGGTGCGAGCATGCTCCGTGCTTTGGTTTAATATCGAAGTAAAGAGTGTGAGTGAAGGGAGGGTGGGAGATATAGATACAGACAAGGAGACATAGCCAAGGATACAGGGTCAATGATACAGACACAAGGGGGACAGAGACCAGTAGAGACAAAGAGGCAGGTAATAAACACACAGAGTGTGGGTGAGTGCAACGTCGGAATGCGGGCACGAGTGAGATTGGGATGGTGAGTTAGTGGGTGCGTGTGGGTGGGGAGAATGGATGGAGGCATAGGGAGAGTGGGAATCGAGGCACCTGGTGAAAGGGAGAGTTTTGGCAGGAGACGGAGGTGGTCTTCATTTTGTGAAGTAAAGTGGGGATTCTTGGTGTTGGTGAAATGGAGGTGGTGTTACTGACTTTGAGCCAAGTGGCGATTTTTGATATCGGAAAATCTGAAGCAATATTGAATCGTTGCAGAATCCAGGATTATATATTATCGAATCATTGCAGGGTTTGGGTTTGCTGTGACGAAGCTGTCTATATTACTGGATCGTTGAGGAATTTGGAGTTTGTCGCTGTGCTGTATACTGTATATTATCCGAGTGTGGCAGAGCTCAGTGTTATAGTATTGTGGGACCTTATATATCTGAGAATTGTATGGCTACTGATCGCATCTCATTCACGCGTGTCGGGGAATACGTTTTTCTTTTACATATAAAAGGGGGAAAAGGGAAGGATCGACTCGTACTGAATACGAATAAGCAGTGGAAGCATATGTAATCCGCAAGGGAGCAACACAGATAGACACAAGAAAGCGAAAGATATTCCACACACATAATCTCTTTGCATTTTAATGAGTGCCCCAACGTCACGTGCGACGCACATACACAATAGATATATGAACGTGCCCATGCATAGCATGTGACGAAGAAAAACATAGCCGTGACATACTGTTGGGGCAAGTGCTGTTATGCGAACACCTATGAAGGCCGGAACGCCACACGAGGGGGTTTATGGCCAGCACCACGCCTGGCCGCCGTTGTCTCCCCAGTGGCGATGATGTTTACACACCGTACCAGGTACTCACTTGAGGCTGAGTGGACCTAGGGGAGGCCCAGGACCCGCTCAAATAATCGTCACTGTTCTTGGCCCAGAATGGGAATCGAACTCTGGTCATTGAATTCGTAGGGCAGTGCGCCAACCGCTGAGCCACCACTTCCCTATAATATATATGCACCGTATGTTGAACTTACTGTTTCACCGTACGCAGCCAACCTTGCTAATCGAAGGTACGGGGGCAGGACAGATAATGTGACATGCACACACACACACGCACACAAGGTACCTATCATGTTATGGTGGGACACGTACGTGTAAGCACACACCCACACACGAGACGCCTGGGCAGTTTAATCAGCGCTGTCTATACATCACGTGGGACGCGTTTCGCAATCACCGGGCGAAAACAACGACTCAATGTCTAACGTACAAACGAAAGGAGGTTTCAAATTGGTAAACTCGGGGAGGAATCAACCGTGGTTGGGCGCGAGAATTGCAGTTTAGAAAGCCCCTTGCTGCCGTCGATAAAACTAGAAAAACCATGTGCATGTGCGGGGCTGGAATTCACCTCGAGTTATCCGGGGCTGAGCTCTGGAAAATGTCCCTGCCCCACCTACCCCTCTTCCCCAGCCCCCCCCCCCCCCAAGTTTTGTGGGAATGCTGGAGGTGGGAAGGGGTGGCTGGGGGTGAGCAGAATCTATTCCATGACAAATGTATCCCTGGGTGTGTGTGAGAGCCGCGTGCGCGCGCTGTGTGTGCGTTGTGTATGTGTTGTGTGTGTTGTGTGTTTGCGTTGTGTGTGTGTTGTATGTGTTGTGTGTGCGTTGTGTGTGCGTTGTGTGTGTTGTGTGTGCGTTGTGTATGTGTTGTGTGTGTTGTGTGTGTGTGTTGTGTATGTGTTGTGTGTGTTGTGTGTGCGTTGTGTGTGCGTTGTATGTGTTGTGTGTGTGCGTTGTGTGTGCGTTGTATGTGTTGTGTGTGTGCGTTGTGTGTGCGTTGTATGTGTTGCGCGTTGTGTGTGCGTTGTGTATGTGTTGTGTGCGTTGTGTGTGCGTTGTGTGTGTTGCGCGTTGTGTGTGTGCGTTATGTATGTGTTGCGTGCGTTGTGTGTGCGTTTTATGTGTTGTGTGTGCGTTGTGTGTGCGTTGTATGTGTTGTGTGTGCGCGCGTTGTGTGTGGCATCTCACCTGACAATCACGTACATGACCAGGATGTTCCCGACCAAGCCCACCACGCACACGATGGAGTAGAGGGCGGTGATGACCACAGCCACGACCAGCGAGGTCACGTGGGGGTCGTCTTCGTAGTCGTCGTCGTCGTCCAGCATGTCGTCGCTCTTGTTGCACAAGAAGGCCAGCTGCTGGTGGCGTGTGCCGTTGTCAGCCGCCGACGACGAGAGGTGATGGCTTTGGTTGCACTCCCACGCGTAGCCCGGGCCGCTGTGGGGCATGTGGATGCCGCCGTGAGAGAGCGCCGAGCGCCCCACGAGATCCGTGAGGTTGGACATCTCTGTCTGTCTGTGTGTGTGTCTCTGTGTGTGTGTGGAGACACAAACGAGTAAAACATGAATTAACATGAAACAACCTGCACACGAACAACCCCCCCCCCACTCACCGATTGTCGCAAAGGGGAATGAAATGAAGGAACGCGTGCCTGCGAATGATTGTACGATGCAGCGAGCGGGCACCGCAGGCGAACGGGCAAGATGTCATGGAGTGATAAGGAGGCACTCTGTTTGGGAGCTCAATTCCTTAAGGGTATTTTCAGGGATTCCATTTGCATGCTGGTTTTTTTTTCTAGTACGTTAATTGCACGATTACGCAGTGAATTTAGATTTACGAATTATAACAATATACTGTATATACTGCATACTATAGTATTCCTAACACCACCCCTCCCCTCCTACCAAAAAGCAAATAGCCCCCCTATTCCCCCATTAACTCCCTATTCCCTCATTTATCCCACTCACTCTTGTAACAGCCCCCCTTCTTTGAATATCCCCCTGAATAACGAAAGCTATTTGGGGAATAAGTCACGACAACGACCATCCACAATCCACACTCAGCGCAGGGTCTGGCATTTTTGCTCGCTCTACAACAATGTTCCAGCATCGTACGCCGGACGAGACTCAATTGATCGGCACCGCAATCCGAACGGGGAAATACAACATTGCGCGAAATGAGATAATAAGATCATGTGCTTTAGGAGACAACAGAGAGGGAAAGAAACCACCTTTGATGCAACCGAGAGCAAAGAGGATCCGGAGCAGTTGCGGCTGCATTTGGAACCCGCTCGTCAAAAAAGAATGTGTGCATCACACGCAACGCCGGCAAGCACTCGGAAGCTACACACAGCCGGCAGCGGTCCTATGTAGACACCTTTAATAAGCACTTCAAAGAGTCACCCATTTACTAGATCTAGCATTGCGGCGCGCATTGCTTCGGTGTTATGTGTGTGCGTGCGCGCGTTAGGTGCGTGCGGTTCCTTACTTGGCGAAACACTGAGCGAGCAGCCGACCCGGCGGACGCAGGATGAAGACGAGAGGGGGGGGAGCTGAACTGCTGGCGACAAAATTTTCACACTTTTGAGAATTATGCGCAGGAGACACGCACATACGTAGACGAGTAGCAATCAAATAAACAAATGCCGCAACGCCGCTCGATGGAAGAATGTTAGCAGTAGGCTGGGCGTTGGGGGTGGACGTCCTCGTGGGCCCGCGAAGAAGGAAATAGGTGGAGGAAGACAGCTTCTCTTTACACAAACAATACGATACAACACCCCCCTCCCTCACCCACCCAACAAAATAATGCGGCTACTTGTTTTTGCGCCTTCTATTTATTTTGAGAATGACTGCGTTTTCTTCCCGAATGTTATTTTGCTGTGAGGGTGGCCCAACGCCGGGTGGAAGCCAGCCAGCGTGTGAGCGAGGGATCCTTTTTATTTTGTTGGCGGATGGAGCTGCGAAGCCTTGGACGGAGGAGGAGGAGGGAGGCGCTCCGGCACGGGTCCACACTTTATAGGGCGCGGCAGCTAGGGGGCCCCGTGACGCGACGCGTTAGATGCCCTCTCCGCAACTCTCTCTACAATTCATCATCGGCAGCAGCAGCAGCAGCGGCGGCGGCGGCAGGCATCATCATCATCTGCCAAGATCAATCCACTGCTTGGCATGCAGGTTTCCCCAAGCCGTCGCCATCTCTCACGATCCTGCTGTGTTCATCATCATCATCATTGTGATAATTCACCGAACACCGTTTATCTCATCACGTCGTCTCCTCCGTTTGACGTCCTCTCGATCTCGTTTTATGACTTGGAATGGGTGCAGCTGCGTTATTATTATTATTGGATCATCGGCTATTATCCCTTCATAATACTCAGCCACGGTCAATCCACTGCTAGATGCAGGCCGTGACCATCTTTAACGATCCTTAGATGTACTAATCAACATACTAGTCCACTTAGCGCCTGCTGATATCATAATTTCGAACGCATTCCGTTTCATTCCACGGCTGCTACTGCGTCATTATTTTTGACTACCAACCATCATGTCGAAATATGCATGCTCAACTTCTTCCACACCGTACGTAACCAACCGTGATAATAATCGGAGGTGCGGGGAAGGACAACAAATAAACACCCTTGACAGTTTGAAGGATGTAATTAACCTTTGTTTTCTAATCAATGGGTTCCTCTTTTTATTCCATTCTTGTCAATGACCACGTTTCTGAACGACGTCGTAAAGAAACAGGGGTTCAATACGGGTGGAATTTTGACCTCTTATCCGCGACGGGTGTGTGTGTGTGGGGAGATCCCATTGTGGATAAGCAAGTGAATTCGAGGCGTTACATCGTCTTGCCATTTACGACTATAGCCACAACATCGCGGATAACAATGTAGATATGTGGATAAAAGGGTTAAACCATCAACCACACCCTCAAGACATTTGCGAGTTGTTAACAGGGCTGCGATTCTGGGGGGGGTGTATCAGTTTTTATTCACACTATATAGTAATACCCTGCTTCTCTCCGATTAGCATTTGCTATGTTAACCCAATATTGTCTGACTGATCTGCTAATTTTATTACATAATCTATGGACCGGCCTTCCGATTACATCCACGATGTTGCAGATAGATGTAAGGAGCCAAACTATGGCCACTAAATGATTCCTATAGTTTTCACAGACTGGTCAATAATTTAATATAACATTACCCAGACATTTCAGGAAAACAACTCCTTTCACCTTCCCCCCCCCCCGTTAATTAATTTTGTTGATAGGTGATGGGATTCCCCGACATTGTCGTGCAAAATAGGAGCTCCATTAAATATATATTCATGTACATCCATTTCAATGGCTCAGTGCTCAGTGTGCATGCATCATTGAATCCCTTATCCCACTAAGGTGGATAAAATCAGTACTACTTTGGCGAGTCAAGGCTTATGGATAGAGCCCTCTTTTATTTTCCACCATGATCCTCCCCCATCACAGGAATGTGGAATTACCCATCACTGTATGTAAACAAGAGATGACCTCCTTCGAGCAGAAGATCTTAAACTACATTATTACTAGCCTGTATTAATACGTACATACATCCAACCTCCCTCCATGATACATCTATAAACACATCCATCCAATTACACAGTTGATGTATTAAGCATGTAAATGCAACGGTATCGCGATAAATCCATAAGCCATTCAATAAATCCACCTCCCAATATAGCCATCAGTTCATTCATCCAAGCATCTATATACTGTAGTACGTACATCTGGGGCAATGACATGGCCCATTAGTAGCATGTTTGCCGCATGTCGCAGAGGTTCGTAGTTCGAATTTGACAGGTGGCCCTGGTTATTACTGCGTGTGTAATAACCATAATATACGCGCCGTCTGCTTCACAGTGGGCCCTTCTGGTGTCATTACAAAAGTTGTAGGCCATTGTGTGCTGGCACCATGGTCAAAATGTGTCAACTTTGAAAAATTACCTGCAAATCACTCACTTGGGTTGCAACGTAATTACATAATCCTTGACTGTGACAACTACTGCAGACTATGGACGTGAAACATAGCACATTTCGTGGTGGTAGCCTTACGCTATGAGATATGCGGGTATATGAAATGTACTACATTTAACATTTTCACCAATTGTGGCATACGAACACGATCGAACTCAACATAGAAACCATGAATCATAGAGTGGCAACGTTTGGGGCTGAATATGTACGCATGGAAACGATTGCCGTCCCAAAAAGTATTCGCAGGAATTTGTATTGATTAATTAATTGATATGCGTGCATACAGTCGAGAATTTGTTGATATGTGATGGGATTCCCCAACATTGTTTTTTTGGGATCGATCGCGTAAATATAAATGTGTAATTAAACCCGCAGCCACCCAACACAGCCAATTAGTAAGGTTTGTCAAGTAAACGGAACATGCCAATTCGTTACTAGTACAGCACACCGGTGTGTTTGGAGAGCAAGTAATTGTAACTAGCATCATCAGGCCGACAGTCAGACAGCCACCAATCTGGCGAAACGTCGTACTCCGATTGTAAATGTTGTGGATTTGCTCTCCAACACACCGGTGTGCTGTACTAGTAGCGAATTGGCACGTTCTGTTTACGTGACACCCCTTACTAATTGACTGTGTCGGGTGATGGCGGGTTTAACGACACATTTATTGTTACACGATCTAACCCAAAACACCTACATTATGGATAATATTGGTCGCGAACCCCTACGTGTTAAACTGTGTATGCGGTATTTATACATATGAGTACCTGGCTTGTAATTGTCCGAAACATACATATTGCTATCTATGAAAATGCACGTGGAAACAGAATGGTTGTAAACATCTTATACAATGCACACAGCCCATATAATTGGCCGGTATTCACTTGTAATTATTTATGAACATTGATCCAACCTTAAATGAGCCTGTATATACACACACGCATGCACTCAATATACATATATTACATGCAGATTATATACTGCATGCTTCAGCAAAAGTTGATTGGGTCATTGATCTGGTTGCGCAATGGTTCACTGAAATGTGAAAAAAAACAAGCATTTAGAATTACTCGTGTGGGATTTATGCCTCGGTGAGGATTAATATGAGAAGTAACAATTAACTAAACTGGCATGCCGTTAGCAATCCTCTACCATAATCATTTCAACATCATTCGAGTCACATATTCGTATTTTCAAAAGTGCATTTCTCTCTCTCTCTCTGTATATCTCTACAGATATTCCATCCGTACGTGCGTCATTGACCTCTACTGTATACGTGCTCTGTAATGTTACTTCCTGCGTGTTTGGTCATTATTGGTTACCAAGGGGCACCCACCCCACGCTTTACTTGCTGTGTTTTTTTTCCAGTGGGGGGCACAAGTGGCGCATTGGCCAGGTGGTGTTTCGTGATTTATTTGACTTCAAACACCACGATCCTGGCCAGCTGCGATGCTTCTTGCGGGGAGGTTTGGTTGGTGATCATAGACTGGGAAATTGGCAAGGATGATTGGTGTTACTCACCCATTGGGAGCCCTTAGCAGAAATTATGTTTGGGTGCCCCCCTCCCCTCCCACCCCTCCCATCCCTTACCTTTCAAGTTATTACGTCCCAGCGAGATGACAGAAGACATGTAGACAAGCGATGTAGATGTAGTGGTAGAGAAATGTATATGAATATAGTCATAGAGGAGAGCTATGCCGACGACATGGTGCAAAGAGATTGATTTACTTGTCACCGTGTTGATTAGGATTGGAATTTGAGCTGATTTTTTGACTTATCCCAATTTGTTTCTTGAATCAGGGACTCCGTGAGCACCCTTGGTGACCCTGGCGAGGATCCAGATTTTGATTTGGGGAACTTGTGAGCCAGCGTGTTTAAATCGGCAGGGTGACGACGCTGCACAAGCCACCACACCCGAAGCATTCCCTGAGTCTGTTTTTCGGATATCTCCGAGATCGGCCAATCCAGAGTTTGACATTCCATTGACGTTATCACATGAGGCATCAAGTCGTTTTAAAACTAGGGGACACGTTGCATCTAAAGGAAGAGAAGACAAGTGACCTCATACCCTGCCAAATAATTATCACCCCCCCCCCCCCCCCCATTCACTAACAGCTTTAAAAGCACACAAATGGAAATTACATAATACCAAGCATTTACACTGTATTTTTAATTGGCTCAACTATATCTATGTTGTTCGTACATTGTTTATGTACATTCCGTATTGCATGATGCTATTTGCAAAGCCGTTTATAATAGTCTTCGATAAAAAAGTCAGAATTTCATTTTATTACAACAATGGATGGCAATGTCAGCATGACTTGTCACGATGTTTGTTAAAACACTACAATGATAATGACTTCAAGTCGGTTGTGTCATTATCGAGAACCACTCCTGAACAACATTTGCAGAAGAGCTTGTTGAATGGATAGTGTGGGTGATTGCAGATGCCATTCGTTGCCTGTCAATGGGCCACTAGACAAAATCCCACGTCAGTTAAAACTGACGTGGTTGGTTTGTCAATGTAAAATGTGTGACGACTTGGCACGCTAGTTGTTACCATTAAGCGCTCTACTTTAAATAGCACATCGCAGTTTAATTTTAATTTTTCAGCTTGCACGAGACGTTTTCATTCTTTGTTTGTGTAAACCGATGATAATAACAACAGTGCATTGCAAAAGGACCATATTGGATTAACCACATCCTATTATTGACGTACTTATTAGTCAATCTCTGGCTCTGTACACCCCCTGCTTTGCTGTGAAAGCACATCGAGCCGGAATTGTCAGGGTGAGTCATTGTGCGAGGCATCTTGCAGCATCACGTGTACTTTCAGGATTCCGTTTAGTCAGCATATATATGTAACAACAAAAAATGACACCAACAAACTGAACGATTCCAGCTTCTCGTGCTAAGAGTACGAACTCCTCACGCTCTCATGTGCACACAATTGACCAATTGCACATCTGCCCCCTTGTTCTTAACGACTGTTATATTGCAGACTTATTCCGGGACGCAAAGCCACATGCACAGCAAAGCATGCAACCCTGGCAACATGGGCATGGACACGGAGTGATCATTATCAACGG